AAATCGGCAGTGTATCAAATACTTATTTGCCCCACTGTATATATATATATATATATATATAGAGAGAGAGAGAGAGAGAGAATTATTTAAAATAAAAAAATACTATTAATAATATTTTTATAATATATACAATATCTTGATATTTTTATTATATATTTTATAGATCTATAAATTACAGATGTTATTTATATATATATATATATATATATATATATATATATAATTATTTAAAATTAAAACTAATATAAATAAAAATATTTTCATAATACATATAATATCTTAATATTTTATTATATAATATATATAATTATTACAAAAAATTATTATAAATGTAATAACGAACCGCCTTGTGTTACGTCATATATATATATATAGGGGGCGTGTCATCGTGCGTTCAGCCGGAAGTAAAGACGTGAAACAGCAGCTGGTAACACTGTAGCACAGCGTGGACATGTAAGTACTGTTTGGCACTTTCACAACTCTTCATTTAGTTCCGACGAGTAGTTCATGTCCATGTTCAATAAAACAAAATCAAACACCGATTCAGTAATCGTTCAATCTGTATCTTTAACAGATCAAACTGTTGGAGATTCGTAAACGACATGTAGGCTTGAATGAGTTCTCTTATTATTGTGGTTGTAGCTTATTCATCATTTTACCAAAAATACATTCTCTGGTGTCTGATACTGGAAACACGTTTAATTACGTTTATACGTTTATAAAGAAGCCAAAAACCACTGAGGTTACAACGTGTTCACAAACCAGCCTAACTAGTTGTGCTTGAACGAAGCTTGTAGCAAAACCCTGGAATCCCAGAACCTCAAAAATGACATCTGAGTGCAAATAGTCTTACATGCAGTGACAATAAATATGCAGTTTAAAATAGTTTATAATGTCATTGTTCACTGTTGCTGATGTGGCATATCAGTTGACCATGCATATGTTTAATATACAGGGTTTCTGCAGGTTTTAAGAAGGTAAATGTAAGACTTTTTAAGACCAATTAATGAAAATTTAGGAAATAAATTGAATGGAACACGGTACACCAATGTGATCTCTAAATGTAAATGTCTTGTATTAGTAGTGCTTCGCTCACAGTTTGAAAATGCAACCTCCAACTGATCTCCAATACTTTAATCCAGTTTTTTAAAGAAAAAAAGAAAAAAGAAATGGCTTTAGATTTGAATAGCTCTGCACCAAATCAATAAGATATGGAAATAATTTTCCTGTGATCACAGAGTCAAGAAGTCATGCTGTTCCTCACTATTTTTGGCTTGTTTTCCAGTGCGAATATATAGCTAAAGATTCTTATATCAAGATACATTAACTTGAGAAGCAAAATGACATAAGTCTTGTTTCATGAGAAATTGATCAAAAGTGAGTTTTCATACTGACAAATATTTGTTTTTGTTTTAAGCATAAACCCACTTAAATTTGCTCAGAAAACAAGACTTCATATGTTCAATTTGCATCTCAAGTAAATGTATCTTGATTTAAGGATGTTTAGATATTTGTGTTGGAAATCAAAGCAAAAATACTGATTATGATATTCATTTTTTGCAGTGCATGCGACATTTAGCCTAATGCCGTGACTTTATGAATTTAAGACTTTCTGCTCTGATTTAAGAGATTTTTAGGCATTCGTTTGTGCAAGGGTGAATTAAGATCCACAGAAACTATGTATATAGCTATTATTCTGGCCTCAATTTTACTTCTGTATATTGCAGGGAGGACACACTGCTGTGGATTGTGGGTGTGCTGTTACTCCTGTTCTGCAGTCTGGATGTGTGGTATTACTTGCGGGCAGTGGTTGTGCTGATCCGGGCCTGGTTCCTCTCACCCGTATTTGACATCACAGCAGAGCAGACCGCTAGCGGACGAGTGGTTCTCCATGATGTTGACCTTTGCCACATGAACAATGCCCGCTACCTGCGCGAGTGTGACTTTGCCCGTTTCTCTCTGTACACCCGCAATGGGGTGTTCAAGGCTTTAAGAGCTCTAGGGGCCACCATGGTCGTTGGGGCAACTACCATCCGCTATAGACGGCCGCTGTGTGTAGGTGAGGCGTTTGAGATTCGCAGTCGAATCGTTACCTGGGACGAGAAGTCATTTTACCTGGAGCAGAGGTTTGTATCTTGTAAAGATGGGATGGTGTCGGCTGTTATGTTCTGCAAACAGAATGTCCTGCGCAGCAGTCCGGACAAGATCCTCCAATACCTGTGCAAGAGAAAGGTGAACAGCTAAGACTTTTACCTCTCTGGTGGTCTTCTGTTATTTTAGACTGTTTTGAATTTTTATTTTTTTTTGTGAATCCCAAAAATCTATAATATATCTAATAGTACAGTACTACAGTGAGTAGAAAAAAAACAATCTTGTGCACTACAACTAAATAATTTCAAACTAATATTTTACACAAATTTATAAATAATATTTTTTTACATGAAAATATACAACTGCCTTTTAAATTCTACAATCTTCTGACATTTGTGGCAGTTGCTATATAAACACAAAAAAATGTGGACATGATTCAAAAAGGCTATGAAAGTCTGTTTGTAAATGCATGATAGAAATTCTCAATTAAGATAAAATTCAGAATTTCAAGAATTAATGTTGATAATTCAGAATTTCAGTGAAAAAAGGTAATTACAGCTTCTTCTTTTTTTTTTTTAATTTGCTGGTTTTCACAATTCTGTTGTATTTTTTCCTCAGAATTGTGAATTAAAAACTTGCAATTACTTTTTTAATTATTTTATTCCGTAGCCTAAAAGAGCTTCCATAAAAGGCTAAGTCATCTTAAAAAATTTGGGGTGGTCAATCTACAAATCAGACTCAGTGAAGTAGTCTTTGATCATGTCTAAATATATATCCAAATGCAACTTTATAAAAGTAATTATGTCTGAAAATATTTTTATAAGCAAATAAAGAACACTCAGCCCTATATCAACACTGTATTAGTTATTAATAATATTAATATTAGCCTTTTCTCATATTTTCATTGTTTTAAATAGAAATAAATTGTACATAATTTAGAGGTGAATATAGTGTGTGTTACCATGAGTACCCCTACAAAAGCAAAATATTAAAGAATAAATGACTCAATAATAAAATTGATATAACATTTATTTCATGAAAAAAGTTAAGCTTGTTGTCACTTAGGGAAGAAGGAAAACCAGAGGGTTAAAGAAATGGTTCACAAAAAAAAAATTAATTTACATGTTGTTTCAATCAAATATTAATTCCCCTTTTTTTTCAAATCACTAAAGCCTGACATTTATGAACTTTGAATTTTGTAGGTTGAAGTGCCAGAATTTCCTGAAGACCTGCAGCACTGGATCAATTTCATCTCCGCCAGCAGTAAAGCCCTCAGGGGGGAAGGTCAGCTCGATGATAAAAAGAGCGAATGACGACTCGCTGCCTTAAATGAACTCTCAAACACTGGTTTACAAAAACACAAGAACATTCTGATGCACATACATTAATGTCTCAGGTGTTTGGACACTCTGATGCAAAATAAAACTGTGATCTAAAAATCTGATTCATGCTGCATTATGTAGTGTGCATGCATACTGTAAGACTGAGAATATGTAGAAACTATTTTTTTATTGTGTATTACTGCCACTGACTGGACTGGAGTGTGAAGCATTAATAGAAAGGGAAACAAAACAATAACAATAAATAAAACAACTATGCCACTTATGCAATATGCGTAATTTAATTTCAATTTTCTAATCCTGTTATTCTGAGAGAACTATTTCTCTTTATATTTTTGGCTGTCCTAATGCACAAATCAGAAGATTTGGTACATTGAAATGGATTAAATGATTTATCTCTGTAATTTCTCATTTCTGTAATAACTTCTACACAAAATAATATATTACTGCTTAAATTTATTTATTTTTTAAATACAAAACATGCCTCCGTATACAATGAATTGGGAATTATTCCAACACATCCAACACAAAGTATCTGTTCAAACAAATATATACAGTGGTGTGAAAAAGTGTTGGCCCCCTTCCTGATTTCTTATTTTTTTGCATGTTTGTCACACTTTAATGTTTCAGATCATCAAACAAATTTAAATATTACACAAAGATAATGCAAGTAAATACAAAATGCAGTTTTTAAATGATGATTAAAACAGGAAGGGGGCCAACACTTTCACACCACTGTAACCAATTTATTGAATGCTTTAAAAACCATAACCATTGTCAAATCATAACAATACAACAACAGTCCAGGGTCTTTCAGTCCAGTGCCAAGTCCTTTAGCAAAGCCATTGCTCTTATTGCTTTTAAGTTTGTAGAGAATTCTCTCTGAAGAGATTCAAAAGACATTTTCATTTCAAGTTTGAATCTCAAAAAAGAGGTTTGCATTTGGAAAATGTTTTTAAATAAAATGTTGTCTTGGAATTCTGCGGTGATGGAATTCTGGCGTCACGCCGTTCGTATGGCTGACGTAGTCACGTGGCCTCGTCAAGCCAATCAGAGCGCAGTTTCTGTGTGCGCGGAAGTGCGTGAAGCCGGTGTCTTGCGGGTGTCAAGCGCGTGAGTAACAAGAATAATATCATATTTGACAACAATATGATTATGAACCTTTACGTGCATTAAAACTCAAACCGGTCTACTTAGGATAGGTTTTTCGTTGCACCACCTTGTCTGTGATCTACATGTACATCTGATATTTAATCTAAACGTTGATTTTTGATTCACTTCCGATATGAATGAATGATGTGAGGTATTTCCATAGCTGTTTTTAAATATATCTAAATGTATACATTAAAAAAAAAAGATGCAATGATGTCCTGCGTGTTGTTTTTAGCACTCGTGTTAATACCATAGAAACCCAGTTGTGAATAATGAATCCTCCTCACTGTGACAGAATCATGCTGCTGTGGATTGTGTCCGGCTCTCTGCTTCTCTTCGGCAGTTTTGACGTCTGGTACTTCTTGAGAGCAACGTGGATGGTGGTCAAGTCCTGGTTCCAGGGTCCGGTTCGAGACGTTCTGGCGGAGCAGGTGGTTCACGGAAGGGTTCTCCTCCACGACCTGGACTTTATGTGTCACATGAATAACGCCCGCTATCTGCGCGAGTGCGACTTCGCGCGCTACGCGTACTGCACGCGGAACGGGCTCTTCCTGGCGGCGCGTGCGCTCGACGCCTCCATGCTGATCGGAGCCACCACCATCCGCTACCGGCGCTCGCTGGCGTTCGGAGAGGCCTTTGAGCTGCGCACGCGGATCGTGGCGTGGGACGAGAAGTCCTTCTACCTGGAGCAGAGGTTCGTGTCCAAGACAGACGGGTTCGTTTCTGCTGTCATGCTGTGCAGGCAGAATGTCATTCGCGGAAACCCACAGAGGATCTTGGATCACCTTTGCAAGAGGAAGGTATGCATTATATCGAGTGCATCATGTGCTTGTGCATTAAAGTTATTTTTATTTTCTTTTTTACTTTTAAAAGCCCCAAATATGCTCATCCCTGTGCAAGAAAGCCCCATCCTAAAATATAGTAATGTCGTGTTAAATGTTTGTGCTTGTTTATTTATTTGAAATGTGTATTGTATTTATTTTAGACTCATTTTATTGTAATCTTATTTATTTATTTTTTACTTGTTACTTTTTGGACCCCCAAATATGCTCATTCTCATGCCTATTCATGCCCCATTCTACAATTTAAAATTGCAGTTGTATATTATCATGTATAAAATATTTATAAATTTGTGTAAAATATTAGTTTGAAAATATTTAGTTGTAGTGCACAAGATTAATAATGGTTTTTTTTCTACTCCCTGTACTATTAGATATATCATTTTTTTTAAATTATTTAAATAAAAGTTCTATTTTTATTGTAATGTTATATATTTATTTTTATAATTTTTTTTGCATCCACAAATATGCTTATCCTAAAATTGAAAAGGCATTAATGTATAAAGACACCTTTTTATACAGTGAAAATTAATATTTTATCATTTTTTATTATTCTACATTATTACATTCATCTTACTAAAGTATGTATTATTATTGTTGATGTACTATTTAATTACTTAATTAATTAATTATTGTTTTGGACCCTCTGAAGACCCAATTAATACAGTTAAAAATGTATATTATACACGTGTAAAAAAATCATTTTAAAAATAATTATACTTTTTTTTCTACTAAGTAGTACTGTACCGTACTGTTAGTTTTTTTTTTTTTTTTTATATAAAATTGATTTATTTAAATTTTATTTCTTTATAATAATAATTACTGTTGTTGTTGTTGTTGTTGTTGTTGTTATTTATTTATTTTACAAATTTTTACACTGTTTTTCTCTAAACATTTCCACGGACCCCCTGTAGGTCCTCAGACCCTAGTTTGAAAACCCCTGCTTTACAGCCCTAACAAACAGTAGCATGGTAATACCATGACACTCCTTGGCTTACCATGAACATGGTACTCATTTCAAGACACTTTGATAATATCATATTGTTAGACGTGTAATATGCTAATACCGAGGTATGTTCCTGTTGATCTAACATACAGTATATGTGTCTCTGATCTGAAGGTGGATTGCCCTGAGATTTCAGAGGATCTTCAGCACTGGATCAGGTTCATCTCTGCCAGCAGTCAGGCTCTGAGAGCAGAGAGTGGACTGGACGACAAGACCAAATGATCTTTCAAAGACTCTTACCGTAAGCCTTCCTTCTTAGCATGTAAGTTTCCCGTGATGCTAACCTTGAAACCAAAACTCTCGAAGTGTCCGTTTTAAAGTTACAAAATGTTTTCTGATCCAGAACCTGTGGCTGTTGGCAGCTTCAGTGTTTACTCCACCACACCAGCCCTCCGTATAGTTTATTTGTTTAAAAGTATTACAACGTCATTATTGTACTTACAAAATCCATTCCAGAAGCTGCAAGAAATATGACTGACAAACCACAGTGCATGAATCTCTGTTGAGAAACAGAGCGCATAAATGAATGTTGAAAACCTGACTCCATTGACTTGAACTCTGGGGGCTTTTGAACGCTCCTATAACCAAATACACACATGAATGTAAGAAAAATCACGTTGAAAAGAGTATTTTAATAGTATAAATGGTAGATGAGTTCTGAGCAGTGAATTGGAACAAGTCTGTTGTTTTATCATATCGCATCATGGATTTGTTGTGCTGGTCAGATATGTTAATGTAGTTATTTATTCCAATTTAAAACTGAAACGGTTTATTATTCTTGTTATTTATGAAAAGGGAACATGTATTTATGAAAATATTTCTTTCTGAGATTTGCATAATTTCTTTGAGAAGAGTCTGTAAAGTAATTTAAGCACCTGTAATGAAACTTGAAGACTTGGGTTATGAAATAAAGTCCTGCATTGTAAATAATGTTTGTATGTTTCTGAGTCATTAGAAGCATTTGTTTAGAAACGGTGTTGATGTATCTGGATCATGTGAGAGCAGCACTACTGCCATCTAGGGTGAAAACACTGTCATATCACGCTCTCAAACTGGAAAGTTGAATTAAAAATGTACACGTATTGCAGAATGGCATTATATTTGGTTTGTCCCTTTTTTGAATCAATGGCAGCAGCACTGAACCTCACATAAACAAAACCTGATGTTCATGTTCTGCCGCATAACTTGAGATGTTCCTACGAGCATCGTAAGCTTCAGTGTAAGCAAGAAAATCTGACAAATTCTGTACAAAGAAGTTCTTATCTGACTAAACATATTCAAACAATAAAAAAAATTGTATTCATTTTACGACAGTTTTTCTTTGTTTTAGTTTTATGTTTATTTTATTTTATTTTTTTCCTCAAAATTAAAAAAAAAAGTGTTTATTGGCAAGTTTAAAATTGATTTTGAGTTCAATGATTTTCTGTGTGGACTGTGGATAATAAATAAAAATATATTAAATATTTCAAAAATATTTATAAATTTAACATATGTATGTGTGTGTGCGTGTGTGTGTATATAAATATACACACACATTTTTAAATTAAATAAATGTTTATACTAAATGAGTCTTATTTATACATTTATTTATTTATATTATAATATTTATAAATGTATATAAAATGTAATATATTTTATATGCAGTTATAAAAATTATATATATATTTAACATGTAACACATTTAATTGAAAGTAAATAATACATGTTTATAATGTTTTATTTATAAGTTATATCTTACATATTTAAATGTGTATATATATATATAATTTTAATTGATTTAAATTTACTTAAATATAAATATAAACTTGCATGTATAAATGTTTTTAAAATCTAAGATGCTTTTTTAATTTAAAATACATATAATACATTATATAAAATATTGATTTTATTTCTTTTTTTTTTTTAATTATTATTTATGTGCTGATTTTGTGGTGACGTATGACCTAGACTCATTTTTTTTCAGCTGCACTAATTCTTACCAGAACACTTGACACTGCACCGAGTTTATAACACTGCAGGCAGCGCAGTGTTTTTTCTGACATGCGCAGTTGTTGTGCAGAGCCGCTGTTCAGCCCCTCCCCCTCCTGTCAGACTCTGCGGTCACATGACTCACTTCCTGCATAAACAAAGCTTGCCTGGGCTTCACTCTGCCACTGGGTTAGACGGCAAGAATCCTTTTAAAATGGCGCAAGCTGGGGTTTTCCTGGAGCACGACCAGTTCA